GGCGGTATCAACTGATACATGCAATTGTATTGCTGGTATGCTAAAAATTTGAGAGTAGTTTGTCATTGAAGGCATGACAAAGTAAGAACTTTAACGTACTCGATTTTGGATTGAACTCATAAGAGAGCTCGTAACCATATACAGAGCACACGAAGCTTTTTCAAACCACTATGATCCACCACACAAAGTATCTGGGAGCACATTGCAACAACTCACCAGTTTTTTTCAGGAGACAATAAAAACTGTATCAATGACAAGCCAGTTTTAAGGTACTTTGTTGACCTACCATTATACTTGAGTTCTACAATATTGAAACTTCGAGTATCCTTCACAATTTATTATTAATAATAATGACGAAAGGCCGGAAAGCTGATATGGACTTAGTTGGTTTAGTAGGAAAAAGGGTAAGTGACATAGCTGAAGGAAAACAATCACCATATTTCTCATTACTTATCATTGGAAATTACACTTGAATATTTTCTTATTAACAAGCAACATGTTTTAATTTTGCAAGTTTTAATATTGTTAAGGTACGTAGGTGAAACCCGGGTTTAGCGATCACCTGGAAAAGTCGAATTTCCCGATTTAAATCCAAACCATGAATCGACTGTCGTGAGAAAATTCAGAAGCTTATTCATTCAACTTCCTTCAATAATCGGCAATCGGTTGTATAAGAATTAACGTGCTTATGTGACTATCAGGTATCAAAATGTATTTTTTCAACAAAAAAAAGAATGACCGTTCAAAATAGCAGTTGTGCGTGTAAATCCTATTTTATACTTTACATATGAACAGCTGTTTAAAATATTTAGCGTATCTCTAAAAAATTCTTTTCGGTTAAGCAAGTGAGGAGAATTGAGTCTGTGGTTTTGGTGAGAAATAAGAAAACTCGGAAACAAGTGAGGACTGACTATTATTTTCGTACAGCGCTTCTAAAAGCTTCCGATCTACTTTCATGTGGTGTCGTCAGAGTTTCAAATCATTGGAATCCTCCAATTTTGTCATTCTTGCCTAATTTTATGGTCCTTCTGCTTCAAAATTCAGACTAGCTGTGTATCTACACATTTCAAACAATTTTGCTAAGATAAAGTCGGGACATATCTCATATATCAGATATGCTTGACCGGGCCACAAATATTTTCCGTTTAGACGCTTGAATGGTTACAACCTTAGATGACTGGGGAATGTAACTTAGTTGCAATTTTCTAGAGTAAAACCTTTTTCTGTCGGTCCTTGGATACAATGTCAATGATAAAAAGGGGTGCATAGCTTTCACGCAACCCAAGTAACTAAAACTTTCTCGACAGATTTAGATGGCAAAGAGAATGTTTTACAAGCTGCTTTTTTAACAAAGCACGAACGCGGTAGTAATGTACTTCTGACATGCAAGTTGCGACCTATTTTTTCCTACTAGGTACAGGGTTATTTAGTAAAGCATGATCGGTGTTGGTTTTCAGTATTATAAAATCGGCCAATACAGACAGGGGTGAACAGAGAACCAAGGCTATAATTCTGAATGTAATGCTACATATAATAGGGACTAGGCAGGAAAAACGCAAGTATTTAGTTTGACTATGACATTGCCAAGTACATTTCATAAAACGTGTCCTGTGGTTTTCATGTTCATAGGACTCCTTTGTCTGACCGAATCAAAACCACATATATGTTTATTGTATGACGTTTTGACTACAACTGTGATCTTTTTTAAGTATAATCTACACAACTTAAAGGAGCGCCATGTACAAAACTAATTCCAACTAAACAAAATAATTTATATTATTTGTATAGCCGCAACTGTTGTCACAAATTTTGTTACTATATTCCATTCTTACATCTACATTACTTTAAAATTTAATTTTACTTACTTACGAATAAACTATCCTAAATATTTTTCAACTAAATTTTAATTTCTAACAACAATTTACATATAAAGAAAGAACCTAATTTTATAGCTAAAAAAAACCATATTCAACATAAAAAAATTCTTAACAAAAAATGTTGTTTTTTTATATTATATTGAATAATATTTACTTTTACAAAAAAACTAAGAATCAAAATAAATGTATATTTTTTTAACTTAATATTAAAAAAATCACCCTAACTAAATTTTTTTTACTAACACAACTCACGTTAGATGCAATGGAAGCACAGACCATAAATAAATATTTATAATATATGAAACAAACTAATTCGTCATTGAAAATCACTTTATTTTTTTTAAATATTCTCTATTATGATCTATGCATTTTTTCATGCGTTCGAACCATTTTTCATAACACATTTTTCACTGCGCTTGAGATATCTCCAAAACATTCTTTATGAATTCATCAACAGCTTCTTCTGCCGACGAACATCGACGTCCGCGCAACTTATTAACGTACGGGGATAAAAAAGAAGTCATTGGGTGCCAAGTCGGGACTGTATGGGGGATGACCCAATAAATCAATATTCTGAGTGCTCAAATAGTTCATTATTTCATGACGATTCGTTTCCGGTTCATAAGCATAGATCCACGATTAATCATCTGTTACAATCTTATTCACGTCTTTTGAAGCACCGCCGTTGTATTTTTCGAGCATCTGTTTGCACCAATCGACATGAGCCTCTTTTTGAGGCTTTGGTCAAATTGTGTGGAATCCACCCAACTAGCAAAGTAGTGCTATAAGCTTTTGGTAAAAGAGCTGTTCAGTCGTAAAAGCTCTCCATTGTTGTTGCCTGAACACCAAATTGCTGGCTTAATGTTGTGTGGAATGCAAATTTGCTATCTGCATCATATTTGCCCTAAAATGAGGTGTTTAAAATATTGTTATAGCATAGTTATACAACACCTTATAGGACAAATTTTGAACGATTGCATAAACGTTTATACAACTATTTTATACGGCATATTTGCGCGTTAGTGAAAATAGTGTTGCGGCATCCATGGTAACGTTTATACAACAAACCCGAGCCTTGTTGTTTTGGTGTGCACATTTACTACTTTAGCCAACAAATTTCTCCCAACGGGAGCACTTATACATCTGTTGTTTAGTAACTGTTAAAGGCTGTACATCTGCAACAATATTACAACTTTTATAGTACAAAATTGCTGTGCTCTGCAGACATTTGTTGCTAAATATGTTGGTATATGACCTCATCATAACCTAACTTTCTGCTGTCATCGTTTTAGTTAAAATGCCATAACCAATATTTTAAGACATGAACATTGGTTTAAAAGGTTTTATCTACTGTTCAAACAGTACATATAGATTTGGTAGAAATTCTTGGTGAATCATTCGACTCTGTCCATATTTCATTTTAGAGATTTGTCAAATTGTTGTATAACACTTGCAGACATCAAAATATTCTAACAAACCAAAGATAACATGGACGTTGCCATGATTATACATAAGCACCCGCCATATTGGGCAAAAATATATTCCTCTATTGAAAATTAATTAATTATGTTTCAGTTCGACATTACAGATATAAAGTGATAAACATTAGCGTAACTGTGTCTAAATATAGTATTTGTGGAAGATTTAACGCAGATAAGTTCAGTTCTTCATCTTAAAAATCTAAACATACTTTTGATCATTATTAAAATATGAATCAAATACGAAGCCCGTACAAATTGCGTAGCTACTTTGCACGATAATCACAATAAAATTTGCTGCGCAAGTAATTCAATAGCCCTATATCAACATGTAGAAGTTTATCATATACCTGCTTATAAAATTCACAATGGCCGATATGTAAGTAAACAAGATAAATGTAATGTGTTAGTTATCGCCTATACAATACATAAGAAATAGTTTGGTTGCAATAAAGTATAATCATGTAACAGAATAGTTGTATAGTTGAGAAAAACTGAATCTTGCACCGACGCAAATGGTCCATAACGGCTGCAAGAGGCTTACACGTTTGTTGTATAACTGTTACCTGCAGCCATTATACTACCTCTTAAATGACTGAAGTGTCCTATTAGGTGTGCCCATTTCGCTTGTATAGCTGTTCTAAGAGCGTTTTGCCAATGTTCTTACAGCATACAGTGCTGTGTAAGGAAGACTGTATAATCGTTCTTGCAACTCTAATAGGAGTGATAATTGTTAGTTTTAGGGCAATGACGACAGACCTTTTTCCCGGCTAAATGATCATGGAATATTTTATGTGCTAGTGGAACTAATGCCTAAGGCTGCCTCAATCTCACAATATGCCACATGACGATCTTGCATTATTAGTTTTTGCCTAGCGTCAATGTTTTCTGGCACGATTGATTTTGGACATCCTTCACGACATTCGTCACCAAGGGAATGGCGGCCACGATGAAATTCGTTATACCATAGTTTCACAGTGGCAAAGGATGGAGCTTCATCACCAAAAGTCGAAATAAGTTGATCGATGCACTCCTGCCTTAATAATACACGTGGAAAGTCGTAATAGTTTCCAAATCTCTATCAACAACATAACTCCTGCTGAAATGACAAAGCTTTCTGAAGAAGCCTATGTTTAATAATGTCAAACTGGCAATTGCAATCGTCTGGTGGAGCCTAAGCACACTTGAGGCTCAAAATATAAGTAGTGACCTCGTATTAATAAATATACATAAAAAAAACTTTAACTAATTAAATATAAATTAAACTTTAACCTTCAGAAGGTAAAAGTTGTTGAGTATAGAAGAGCCATGCAATTTGATACCCACTGTCCAACGTATACCCCAAAATCATTAGGTTGTTCACCTAAAATGAGCAGTAATTTTCGAAGTGCGGCGAACCCTCAGCCATCATTACAAGTGAAATCCATCAGGCGATCTGTTTCGAGATAGCTTCGTTGTTGTAGCTGATTGTAGCTGACCATTGCTAGTGTATACAAATTACACTTACCACATTGTTGCCTCTCGATCACGCAAAAATTCTATTAGCGTCGCCTAATCTCTTCTATAACTATAAGCAGGGCTTCCGCATGCTGGTTTGCAACGCGACACGCGTTGGCGGTTGTAATATAATTAATTTAATTTTCAGGATGTGGGCAATGCGGGGCTCCCTGCTACTTTGCTATTGTTGTTATTTCGCACTCGTGTGACTGTAAGTGCATGTTCAGACGGAGAATTTATGAGGGTAGTATCGGGAAATACGGTAATACGGAAAATTGTGATCAGGAAACAATTCGAAAATTGTGTAACAGTTTGAAAAATAATGTTGTTCTATAAAGTGCTTATAATGCATTTTTATGGAGGGAGACAGGAGTCATGGATGTTTCAATTTAGTGGAAAGTAATACCTCAGCAGAATATGATTCACGGATGAAGTAATACGATTTATAGCCCAGGTACATTTAGCCCAAAAGTACCATAATAACTATAGATAGAACGTATCGTAAATCTGTCAAAGTTCTCAGGACAAACAGACCAAACGTTATGCTTATAAAATTGTATCATACACTGCTTATGTATGTAAAGGTGATGGAACCCTTTCTACTCCATAGATGAATATTTTAACCATTTTGCAACGTTTTTATCTAGCGAAGACTGGTTCTGTTTGTAGTTACAATGGATATAAATGCAAAACAGAGAAAGCTACCTTGGTGTAGAAAGAGATAAATAGTCACGCCATGATCGGCTAGCTGTCTGCGCAAGCCAGTGGCTCCAAGGTTGTTGTGAGGGGAGACAGTGCGTGCTGCCATAAAATTTGCAGGTTAGTAGCATTTTTGATTTTTGTTAATATTGGTCTATAATCTGATTTCTATTCAAATGGAACTTTGTGTGTTGTGTTAGTTACCCCCTAATTAATTAATTTTCCGATGAATCTATGTTTTAAAAGTTATATTTAATTACTTTTTTGTACAAAATTTTTAACAGTCAGTTTTGGGGTTGGGGCTACAAGTGACATTTACTCGGAGTAAGTTGTGATTTGTCACCTTCCCCTTAGTGATTTTTGTTGACATATAATTTAAGCTTTAATATTTGTTGGCATTAAACTCAATCAATCGTTTTAAGAAGACTGGTATTGCACCATTTAATAAAGACACTTTCCAGGATGAAGACTTCTTGTCTGCCTTTGTTACCGACAGACCAATAGACGAAACGGCCAACTCAAACATCCAAAATATACCTGTTACAACACAAAACGTGGTGGCTGACACTCAAGCTCCATCTTCTTCCCATCCTTTCATAGAAAATGCCACAGTAGGATTCGAAAACTCCATTTATACTAACCCAGCTTCTCCTGAGATTGTTCTGCCTTATCCAAAAGCTACAGCAAGAACAAACAAAATAACATGAAAAACTCACAAATCAGCTGTAGTAACTGGCACACCGACTGAAAAAGAGCTTTGGCACAGGAATATAGCAAAAAAAAAAAGGAAAGTAAATTTAAGGAAGGGTAATTAATGAAGGGAGGAACGGCAAAGTCAAGCACAAGAAAGAATAATGAACAAGAAAATACCAGTAGGAAAAGTCAAACAAACAAAGAGGAAGTTATTATGTATATGACACTGACGAAGGCGAAGAAAGTGGAGATGATGGTATTTTTGTCTGAAATGTTATAACTTTTTTGACCCGAAGAAAGGGTACAGTATGTACTTTTTATGAGTTGGTCACATGTGAAATGCGTAAAGGGAAATAGTGCTCAATACGTTTGTTTGAATTTTGAAGGTGATTGTTCAGCCTACAGTGACTGAGGTGCTTTGTTTTCCTTTTCTGATTTTTTTTTTAAGAGCATAGTTTTGTTTTTGATTATGACACCTTATTTACGTATTGTTAACTCATTCCAAGTGTCTATTCAATAAAAGGTTTATAATCTTACTAATACAGGTCGAAAATTATTGGTTTTACGAGATGTAAGACTAAACATATGAGACGACTTTGTTAGACTAGTTGTGCTTTTGTTAATTAAGTTAGGAGGATCCTATTTTATTGTTTTGATGAGGACAAAGACTGACCTGAGACATAAATACATGTCATTTACATAATAAAAAGCAGTTTATTAAGTTTGATCTTTATTGTAACATTTTACCCCGTGTAGTGTAATTTCTAACCCCTTGGATGGGGCTAAAAGTTTCACACCTCTTTTCTTAGAATTCTTCCAATAATCATTTTTATTAGTCATTTTCATAAAATTTATATTAGACCTATATTCTGTGTAGTTAAATTATCAAATGAACTCATAGTCGGGTAAGCTAATCAAAAACATACAAATATATAACACTTTGAAATAAAAATGTCACAACTATTCCCAGTCTCCCCTACTGTGCAAATTTATTATTTTTGCATGTTTTATGTCTTGTTTGTTTATATGCATCACCATATTAAATTTTTTATTGAATTCTATTCTATATAACTCGCATTATAAGCAATTGTATCTGTCATAAACTTAACACAAAAACCTTGTTTAAAAAAATCACTGTATTACTGTAAAGCCTTACGTTAATGACTCTTTCAAAAATTTGTCCAAAGTTGAAATTGTACGGCTTCAATTAAAAAAAAAATAGCATCAAGTATGTTGACTCTGTACTTCCGAAGCAACGCCCTTATCAGTACATAAAAGGGAGCAACTAGGCCCCTCTGAGAAAAAAATCATTCAAATATGTCCAATCAGTCCATAGAGATGTTTTCCCTGCCTTACCGGTAGTGGATCTGAAAACGTCTTCTAGATACCTAATTCGGGCAAACGTGGCACCGTGGTACCGCGGCCGGAGCATAGAAAACACTATGCTCACGGTCGGCGCACGACACCAGCAGCAGCCACGTATGTTGGAAGCATACACGCTACCGTTCCAAAGTATTTGAACACAAAGAAGACAAGGAATCTGATGAAAGTTATTAAAAAAAACTTGCAGTCATGAGTCTATTGCGTTTACTTTTCACTATTGTGCTTAAGTCTTCACTGGAAGTTGTAACTCTGGGTCTCCCCGAACGACGGCTATTGGATGTTGTGCCTTGAGCATTAATTATTTCTTAATAATGTAGTGTACAGATGAAAGTGGTACCTACTGAAGTTTAGAAATTTCTTGAATACTTTTGCTGGACTTATGCAGATCAATAATAACTCCTTTTATCTCCTCGGAATATAGTTTTGTCCATTTTGACCAGAACATAATAAACGAAAACATACTTGTTGAACAATCTTGAACTATAAAGTATTGAAGCACGGTTAGTTTATCAAATGAGAGAAGAACTGAAGTAAAACTGTGTTATGGTTTCTGAATAACACAAATTGAAAATAATAATCTAAAAATAAATTCTGAGAAAGAATTCCTATACAAAAACAAGGATATTCTAAGGGCAAGGAAATTCCTACTATGGCTAATGATAAGATCCCAATAATAGTGTGGGCAAAATTTTGATTTCAATGACCTTTCAGTGATGCTTGATTTCCACGGTGATGATTTTCAAAGAATAAAAAATAGTAAATGCATACTGAATAGTTTTTTGTTTGTTATGATTTTAAGTGGAATAAATACTTTTGAACGGTAGTGTAAATGTGCCAGCAGTGAAAAATAGAGATAAGCTCTTACAGCCCCCACCTCCAAGATTTTAAACTCTAAATTTTTCAAATGATCAAGATCGTTTGAAACGCTAAAAAACGAAGTTTGAAACATTTTTATTTCTTCCGTTTTAGGCTTTTGCCACTGGACCGATTTTCAAAAACTACAAAGCCTTTGCGTCTTTGGAACAGTAGTAACATCGTGTAAATTTTAATCGAAATCCGTTGAGGTACTTACCAAGCTATAGGTGGTTATAAGATTAGCGGTCAGATAGACAGACGGAAATGGTTTTTAGTGGCGTACCTGTCATATTACATCCGAAAAACATAACACATAATTTTAGAAACTTCTCGCATTTACAATACTTCCCCGCCAGTGGGCGCAGAAGTAAAAACATTCACTTTGAGCAAAAAACTTCTACACGATCTGTTGACAATTTGTGTGGAAGAATCGCGTCCCGAGAGTTGATTACTTTCCAAAGCCAGACGCGCATTGCGTTGCTAAAAGGAAAAAGCTGACCTTTAAAATCACCTGCTGGAAAAACGATCCCGGCAACAAATTGCTACAATTAACATCCGACGTGAACTGCATGTCACTCAGCAAAGAACACTGGTCGTGTTTCTAGAAGCTGCAAACGGTCACGAACTGCATAGAAACAAAGAAGTCGCTGAAGGAATAATATAGTGTAGGTACATTTTCTGTCACATCTTTGGTGACTTGAGACAGCGGTTAAATTGATGTAGGCTTTTAGAATCGAACTATCAATCCGGGTATCCAGTTGCTCTTTCCAGTGTATGCCGGGTGTATGACTTATTTCGATAGATGTTGCGGTGTTTTCGTTCATTTTTCCATAGACGAGATGCTGATGAGAAGCCAAGAAGCACGAAACAGCTGTCGACTTTTAACTGTTTTTTAGTCAGACGGACGATAACCACTGAATAAATGAAGAAACACCGAGACACGTTGAAAGACTTGTCAAGGTAGACAACTTTTTAGCCAAAAACTACTTCACCCGCTTTCACTCTCGGCTCCCCAGGGTCATTCCTTCAAAAATTTTAAGTCACAAGGGGTATCGAGTAATAGCTTGTTTGAAAGGTCTTTCGAAGTTTGATTTTTTTTTAAATTAGAAAAATCTTTATTTATCTTAATTGGTTCAGATAGGAAACAAAAACACACGAAACTATCTTTTTGTATTTCAATAAGTGTTCAAAATTTTACCCGTTAGGATATGCCAAATCTACAAATCGTTTATAATTTAAAACGGAAACTACCATCATAAACAGCAATTCGGAATATTAGACGTGGCAACAACTAAATAACAACCCGAATTTTTTCTGCATTATTTCCATTAAAAAAGATATCCTGGTCGAACTGTATTTATTGTTATACCTGTTCAGTTATTTGTTGCTAAGGAAAGGAAAGACTTTAATTTGCTGTCAGTTACCTTTCTGACAATCTTGGGATAGTGAAAATTAATTTATTGATTCAGATTTTATTTCCATCCATCCAATCCATGGTCAGGCATTTTAGGAAATAAAGTGATTGGGCCATTATTTATCAATGGAAATTTGAATGGAGACATTTATTTGGATATGTTGGAAATACCATCAATCCGCTTATCACTGAAACCATTGAAAACCAAATCGAAGAGGTTGGAAACTCTATAATTGATGAAGCTGAAACATATTTCCAGTAAGTCGACGCTCCTCCACACTATGTTCTTCGGGTTGGTAATTGCTAGACGACGAGTTTCTAGATAAATGGATAGAGGCGAAGAGAGACTGTAGAATGGCCTGCTAGATCTCCTGATTTGACGACATTAGACTTTTTACTATGGGGCCGTTTGAAATCTATTGTAATTACTCCCCAACCTGAAAGTTTGGACGAACTTCGTCAACCCATCATCGAAAGCTGCCATGATATCCCACATGTTTTTGAAAACGTCCGTCAGGAATCTAAACATCGCCTATTTCATTCTTTGACCAATAATGGGCAACATTTTGAACACTGATTGAAATACAAAGTGATATTTTCGTGTGTTTATGTTTTCTATTTGAACAAATTAAGGTAAATAAAGATGTTTCCAATTTGCTTGAAAACGAATCGACCAATTAAGAAAAATAAATGTCAAAATAAAGGACTTCGAAAGACCTTTCAAACAAGCTATTATTCGATACCCCTTGTCGTTTAAAATGTTTAAGGCAAATACCCTGGGGACAGAGAGTAAAAGGGGGTGATGTATTTTTTGGTTGAAGGGTTGTCCCTTTTGACAAATCTTTTGACATGTCTCGGCGTTTTTTTTAATCAATGGCTTTCGATAAGTCAGTGGTGGGAAGTTTTCAAATGAACACCCATGTATATTTGACCATTTTTCTGCCACTCGCAATTGTCAAGACATAAACAAATAATGCGTTTTGACAGGCTGCCTAAAACGAGATAATGACTATGCATCGTATCACCAGAACTACCACAAAAGCGATGGAGTACCGTGAATATCATAAAGGAAAATTTTTAAGATCGAATAAGTGCACGTTACACAAAATATCTATGAATCCATAAAACATATATGTGCTTGTCCTGCTACTGGCATATCTAGCATTTCCCGCTAGCTACCATAAAATAAATTGATGGGTGGTTGGCAGCGCTGCGTACGGGAGTGTACGGGCTTTTATTATTGAATTATATTATTCGTAATTGTATAACCAAAATATATAAATGGAAATTTTGTAACAAATTGATTGAATTCGCATAGGATTTGACAGGCAATTGTTTTACACGTCAGAATATCGCGTTAATTTGCGATGGAGCTGTAATTGTATAGGTTTATCGATAATCGGTTAAACAGGAATTTGATCACTCCTGAAATTGGTTACTTTCCACAGGAGTGCCTAAGCTGTGTTTATATATTTATCAATTTAACTCTACTCCTTGCATTTTAATAGGGCCCATGTATTTGTGCAGGGTGTCCAGTACAAAAGTTCACTATTTGATTCAAGAAAAATAATACAAACTTAACAAAAAGAATGTATTTATTACTATCAGCATATTCGTAAATTTGACGGGCTTTATTTCTTAAATATCGTTCCGCCCATATCTCTTCGGACACACATTTCTAATCGTGCGCACAAATTATGAAACACACTCTTGCAGAGTTCCGGGGTGATGTTGTTTATTTTTCGTTGTATGCTGTCTTTGAGCTCCTCCAGTGTTCGTGGAATATTGGAATTCACTTTAGATAACTCCACAAAAAATAATCGCATGGCGTGAGGTCGGGTGATCTAGGAGACCGGTGAATGTCTCCAAACTTCGACATAACCTTTTGAGGAAAAAGTGCTTCCACCGTGTCCATCGATTCTCTGGAAGTATAAACAGTGGTACCATCCTGTTGAAACCATGTGTTTCTGTTAAATCGAGGTCCTGTTCTTACAATAGGAGCATAATCGTCTAAGTGAAAATGGGCCTAGTCACTGAAAACAACGTTTACGAGTCTGTGCTGCGTAGGAAAGAGATTCAACATCCGTTCAGCACAAGCTTGCCGTAATACGTAATCACTTTTCCTGAAAGCATAGACTGATTTGATTTTATAAGGATGAAAATAATTTTTTTCTTCAATATGCCATGCAGTGTATATAGTGCTTCAGTACAGAACGCCGAAGATTTGCAATGACAGAATCACTTACTCGACGCAAGTCTTCTTTGGTTGATACAGTAGGCGTGGGTCCGGGAATATGGGTTGACGGAACATCTTAATCCACTTTTTCAATAGGTTCTTACTTGCGGCATCCCTTGGTCGACGTTGTATCGTGTACAAAATTGCTGGGTATGAATCACCACTCTTAAGTCTCGACAGCAAAAGCACGTTGCGCTCCGGTCCAACGTTCCATTGTGACTATTTAACCCGCACGCTGAACGCGTCGATCAAGACCTCTCCTTACTTCCTCGCGTATACGGATGCCGCGTAATTCAAATTTGAAATGTGAACTTTCCCACTGGACACACTGCACATCCGTAGTTCCGTCATAACTCATTTGCTTCTAAGTCTGTGGAAAAGATATGGTCAAATTATTGTACGTTTTTGAGACGTCTGCGATAGGAAAACTGATAACGATATTTGGTATGATCTATACCCATTTGTCGACATAATACAACGCGAAGCGCCATCTACCATTAGAATCGTCCGCTGCGCTGTCTGTTGGGAGTATGTAGATTTCATTCCGCGAATTAGAGAGCCAGTGACCAAGTGACCGCTAGGTGGCATGATTGTAGCTGAGTAGTAGATGTCAAAAAATCACGAAACAGCTGTCCATGGTTGACCGTCTTTGGTCGGACAGACGATAGCAGAACATTTTTATTCTGTTCAGTGACCATATCTACTACACACATAAAATCGACGCCATTTAGCGGTCAGGTGATCGCTGACATCCAATTCGTGGGCTGAGGTCTATACACTCCCAATTGGTAGCTGTCTTACCTATTTCGTTAGTCACATATGTTGAATAGAGTATAATTGCGATGCCGAAAAACCAAGTCTAATCATGCTGACGAGTAGTCAAGATCGTCTCTGCAGCATATTTGTATTAACTGTTCTTTTTATCTCGTTACTGTACCTCCAATGATTGGAAAATTTGGAAATGCAAAATTCACTATATGCCGCTGCTTCCAGCCAATTGCCTGAGCCTGTGCTTCGAACAAGAAAAATTGCATATTCTAGTAGTCTGTGATGGCAACACTCTTTCATTTTCCTGATGAGCTCTGCCCATCAGTCCAGTCAATATGTCCCAAGACTGCAAACTACCGGGCAGGGATAGGGATGGCTTGTTGTACTCGTATGTGGTTCCACTCGCCTGCTTGAAGTCAGGTATGATCTGCAGGGGTATTATAAAAAAACCTGAACAAACGCAATAAATAACAGTTTGAAAAAACTAAAAAACACATTTAAAGCTTCACTGTTGCATGGGGCTTTCTTTGTTAACTTGGAGCAATCAGGTTCTTCAATCCGAATACCGTCTAAAGATCTTACACGACAGGACTACATAAGCTTGTCCAGCAGCCTAGATAAATGACTGCATGATCGACTGTACAACCTTACATCTTGTGGTCGAAACCCAACTCAGGATTAATGGCAACATTCGCAATGAACAGGATGAGAATGCACTACCTTGAAAAGTATCTGCCTCCTTTGTGCTGTGCCCAGTGGCCGAACCAATAAAGAGTAAGTCCGAAACCGCACGCATGCGCAGATCGCGCGCGCTAGCTTTATCCCTCTTACTCCCCACAGAGGATCTACAGTATGGGAAAAACTATTATTATACATTATGATGAGGAAGAGAGATGGAAATATACAAAAGTATGTAGGTGCGTGAAAGACACTCGATTGTAGGATCTTATCTGGCAGCGTCGGAGTGTGACGGACAACGGGGTAAAGTAGAAGAGTGATAAAAGAGAGAGATGGCAGAACGGGCGCTAGCGCCTACCGCTTAGACGGATGCACTCAACAAATAACAATGGTTTTTCCTAAGGTGTATAAAAGAATTGATTAATCCTGGCGGTCCTATTAAGGATAACGGAAAACTGTTATTGAAGATTCTAATTAAACAAACTTCTGGAAATTGGTGATAATTATGCTCAAAGGTTCCATTACTTTCATACAGGCCAAGCTGATAAAAGCGTGTTAAAAAAACCAGCAAAATGTCATCTGTCTAGGTAGTTTCTAGTGTGCAAATAGTTCATTCCACGTTTGCTCGCTGTTCGATGAATTTTAAGCAACACTTACAGTTACAAGTATAGAACGGCTTGTGCTAAGCTTACGTCTTGCAGAAAAATCTACGTTATGTCACAAAAAACTTACAAATGTCAAAAAACGACAAAATATCTCTTTTCAAGATACGTAATACCCGTGCCGGTCCAACCGAAGATTTGTAGTATTCGTTATACCGGCTGTTTCAAATTTGACTCCTACCATTGAGATTTCAGAAATGGCAAGAGATACGAAGTCGGCCAAAAACCGGAAAATTTAGATAATTGAGTATATAGAACTTAGAAAGTTCCCAGATTCCGAGTATGGAGACAGATGAGAAAAAGAAAACGAATTTTACTATATCCTTCTTATTTTCTATTCTTTATTTGAGATAGGATTTCAGAATGAAAAGTACTTTAAAATTGCCGCTTTCTCTTCTTTACAAGACTGCAGAATTAGAATTGCAACTTAAAGCATTGTCTCTTGTGCTGAGTCATCAACACTATTTCTTCTTATAGATGCCATATTGAATTTTTGCACAGGTAAAAGAGCTTATAATTGTGGTTCTGAAAATGCTATTGCTAAACCTCACATATTTCAAAAATACAAGATTACCTAAGTAGGCCCTGAAATCATCATACAGCCATTTATTTTATAATATTGCGACCATTAATAGCTGAACAGTCCATATTCCTGATTTAAATAATGTGATATTGTACATATGGAGAGGGGGATTAGTATTATAAAACTTCGAATATCTAAGAAAGTAATATTCCTAGAGTTGGTCTCCATCATCGAATAAAGAAGACCCTAGTGCTAAACTTCATATTATTTAAGAATCGTATTGAAAGCGTTGAAAACAGTATTATATTATGTAACTGATAGATATACTAAGTGACATATCAATCCGAACACCCAGTTTAAATGGTTTTATTTTAATAAAATTTTGTATAAGTACTTAATGAAGCATAATAAGTAAATGATAAAAAATTCAAAATGATTGCACTGCTTTAAAGCCCTTTGACCTTTAATAATGTGTGGATGCACCCTGATGTGCTACGCATTCTCCAACGCGCCTAGGCATGCTTCTGATCAGGAGGTCAATGTCCTCCTGTGGTATCTCATTCCAGGCAACCACCAACTCCTCTCGAAGTGCTTCTAGAGTCTGAGGAGGACGTTGCAAATTGAGCAATCTCCTACCCATCATATCCCACACGTGCTCAATTGGGGATATATCGGGAGATCTTGGTGGCCACGGTAACAATGTGACATCATTATGTTGAAAGAAGTCTACTGAGACTCTTGCAACATGTGGTCGGGCATTATCTTGTTGGAAAGTTGGATCTGCCAGGGTGTCCAGATAGGGTAAAAGATGGGGTTCTAGAACTTCGTGGATATAACGCTGTTCGTTCATGTTACCTCTGATGAAGATTAAAGGTGACCTGGAACCATAAGCTATAGCACCCCAAACCATAACTCCAACAGTGTGATGAACATGTCTTTCAACAAAAAACTGTGGATTCCTCCTTTCACCACGTCGCCTTCTAACCCTGGCACGACCATCGTTGCATGCCTAAACAAAATCGAGACTCATCACTAAAGACAATACTGTTCCATTCCTGATCCCAGAGTGACCGTTGTCTGCACCACTCAAGGCGATTACGTCGGTATTCTCGAGTTAAAGGGAGGACCTAGTGTGGCCGGTATGAAAACAAGCCAAAACTTCTCATTCGTCGGTAAACACTTCGCATGCCAATAGGTCTTCCGTGTTCTGCAAACCATTCATTTGCAATGGACCTGGTAGTGGAGAAACGGTCCCTTAAGGCCAATAATCTTAGGCGGCGATCTTCACGGTCTGTTGTTCTACGGCGGCGTCCAGTGCCCCTTGCTCTTTGCGTACGGCCTTCTCGAAGCCATGCCTGACAACACCTAACCACAGTGTCTACACTTCTTTGCACTCTAACTGCAATTGCCCGAAAAGAAGGTCCAGCTTCCCGAAGTCCCACTATACGGCCCCTATCAAACTCACTAAGTTGACGAAATCGTACAGGTCTCCGTACTCTAGGCATCGTAACCGATCGTAAAGGATGTCAAGAACCAAAATCCGCCAACGTTGATTCTTTACTGAGGCTGAAATATTCATTTTTAGAGCGTTAGTGAATTAAAAAAAAGCAGTATAAAAACCGGAATATCCAACTGATAAGGCTGAAGATTTTTTTACCTGTTATTTATAGTAAGATAAATACATTCACCTACTTTTATTAAAATAAAACCATTTAAACTGGGTGTTCGGATTTATATGTCACTTAGTATAAATAATAGCCTCGACGATATTGCAGCTTCCTAAGCACATTTCATATCCTCCATATCTAAACCGATGCAAAAATCATTCATCCAAACAATATCAATCTGAATCTGTGGTGTAATTTAGGGCGTTTCCAGGGTGCTTAAATAACGCTTATGATAGTAAATAATTGAATATCCTTATAACAAGTTTCTCTGAAACTAAAGCACTTAATCGCATAAAGATGTGATAGACTGTCATTTTTAAGGCTAACTATGCAGATACACGTGTTTTTTTAAGTAACTCGTGTTTGACAATGTGAATGTATGAGATAAATATTTTTGGAATTAAAAACCAAATTCAGCTGTGTAAAAATCCAACATTAAATAATAGTCATATTCAAATTCTGATTATACTACCTTGTAGAGGAGAAAAAGTGGCAATGTTAGTGTTTCTGTTATTCTCTAAATTCATTTCAGACAAAGTCAGGAAAAAATAAAAACGATTTTGGAAAAATTTGGTTACCTGAATGCACAACTTTACCTCTATGTAACCAACGTATCTCTAACCATTTACGAAATCCAAATGGTGAGAGAGACTTTTAAAATATACGGCATAGAAGGTACATGGTCCGGCACAAAGGTCGGACGGTTTTTAGAAAATCACAAAGTCGGTAACTTTTACTCAAAAACTAATCTATTGACGGATTGGGTTTCACGATGAAATAGCGTTTGTCACAATTAAGTGTGGAAAATCACATCATTCATGTTTTGACGATGCATTGCTGGCGACGTTCTTGAAAGTACGCGTAGACTCTCTCCAACATCATTCTCTCAACTTGGGCGACTTCCTCGTGAATTGCCTCCTTCAACTCATCCAGAGTTCGGGGCTTTTGCTCGAATACATTAGCCTCCCCATAGAAAAAAAAACGCAGATGGATAAACCTGGGGACCAAGGAGGCCAATGAACATCACCAAACTTGGAAATAAGGCGACCACAGAAGAGAGGGTGAATAGCGTTCATCGTTGCTTTAACTGTGTGTGGGCGGTCACCCCATCCTGGTAGAACCACACACGTCGGAGTGGAACACGTCGTCGTCGTAATTCAGGTGAGAAGAAGTTGACCGACATAGCGCTTCAAGTTTACGGTAACAGCATTGCGATTAGCGTTTCTGAAGAATTCCAAACCGTCAGTTTTGCTGGGTGCAGCGGTCCTTCATGTAACTGTCACCGATTTTCATTAACCCAATAATGGCAATTCTGCTGGTTAACCATGCCATTGAGATGACAGTGAGCTTCATCGTGAACAAAATGCTCGATAAGTGCTTCCATCTCACGATCATCCATTGTACGTAATCTCCAGGCTGTGACTGTTGCACAATGGACAATTTGTAGGGGTGAAAGTGGAGCTCCATATGCAAAATATGCCTTACCAAACGATCACTGAGGTGAAGTTCAGCAGCATGTTCCTGAGCAGATCGTTATACATTTTCAGGGGTTCGAACCGTTCATGCAGCTCTTGGTGGTCTTTTGTTGATCAGTACACCACGTGTGCGAAGTGATTGAACCCAACGAAGAATGGTGTTTCCAGTAGCAACAGCTCGATTCCGATGAATATTGAAGTAGCGACATACGTACGTTATTGGTAAAAATGCTAAGAACGCCCGGCCTCTCCCAAGCACTCTCGCCCGAATAGGCGGTGAGTACTAGCCATTTCAAAAACATCCCTCCTTTGTGCCGGACTCTATATATGATAGAAGGGAGGCAGATAACCTTCTAAAGATCAATTTCCGCTTAACAACAAAGAATGTTTATGCAAGTTACTTGGTTTATATTTTAAGGTGAGCAAAGTAGGAAAATCACTAGCATAGCCATAATACTGACCTGTCCATCTGCATCCTAGTATTTCTACACGCATACAAACTGTCCTCACGTGGTCGCTGTATGGTATGAACCGGATCTTGGAGGCGATGATTGGAGGCTCCAACTTCTGCTCTACTATGGAGTAGGTGTCCGTATTCCCCGTCAGCAACTGAAATAAAAAGAAGAGCATAAATAATAATAAATAATTTCAGTCAGCGCTCGGGTACAATATAGTCGTTGCTCCAGGCGCTGGAGATTCCTTGCACCTTTTGGCACTGTACCATATCATTTGCTAAGGTTTGGAGCTGAAGTTATTCCATGTTTGAGAAGGAACTGCAAGCTCATTAGACAAGTGCCTAGGCATCGTGAAGTGTTCCTAAGAGTAGCGTTTTTCAGCTGAACCTTTGAAAAAAAAACAATATAATGCTGAGCTGATGTAGTAACATTTCTCAATAATACCTAATTAATTAACAACACTTTAAAATATAAACAATTACAAGAACAGTTCATATTGCCAGCATTTTGTGTTCATCGTCAGACATCGGCGTGCAGTTTTAGTTGAAGCCTTTTTTTTTAAACTAAATAGTGTGTAACTTTGGAATGTAACAGGTGGGTGATTATACGAGCCCCACTTCAGTTGGCCCACTTCAAGATTTGTACCAAAATATGCCTTTATAAACTAAAAATAACGAAACTATTTACTTCTAAAACAATTTATTTTCTCAAAACATTTTAGATACACTCTTGTCGTAAAAAATACATATTTGAAATCACTTAGACCTATAACTAATAGAACATATGAACAAATAAAAAATGTGCGAATAAATGCGCGAAGTTAACAAAGCAACAATTGAAAGATTACCATTGGGTAACATCACCTTTATTTTCTATTACGGCTGAAATTCTTTGGGCATAGTGTTAACCAAGTTTTGGCAAAAATTTACTGTAAAACAATCCCATATTTCTGGAAGCTTTTGTCTCAGTTTGGTGATTGTACGAGCAGGATGTTGTCGTAGAACCTTTTTCATCTCGTGCCTGCCACCAAGTTTCAATAGGTGACAGATCTGGACTGCTAGAAACCCAATTCAAAAGTGGTACATGATTTTCTTCCATCCATTTTATAGCCTTTTTTGAGGTATGGCACGCTGCACCATCTTGCTGAAACACAAAATCTTGGCCAGATGTCAATCATTCTTCCACCACTGGTAAAAGCGATTCTTCTAAAATTGCCAAATATTTGTTTGTATCCAAATTTCCATCAATAAAATGAAGTATTCCTACTCCTTTTGATGACATACTGCCCCAGACTATAATGGATGCTGGAAATTTCACTTTTCTCTTCAGACAGTAAACATGGAATGTTTAATTTTTTTTGCGAATTACTGTACTGCGACTGTCACCAACACAAACTTCGAATCGGACCTCATCACTCCATTGTATTGCACACCATTGTTGAGGTATCAATTGTCTATGTCCTTTCTAAGCCGAGTTTTCTTTTGCAGTGGAGTCACTCCATAGAGCACTTAATTATAAATAATTGGCACGCCTGTTTTTCACGATTATTCTTCTTAATGTTCTTCGGTCGGCATTTGTGATATTACTTTTTTTCACATATCGTGGCTTAATATTAACTGAACCAGTTACGTTATATCTTCTAACAATATTTCTCACACTGTACCGCGATAAGTCTAACAAAATTGCAATTTCTGAGTTTGATTTTCCAGAATCAGTGTCAGTAACCGAATTTTCTCATTAATAACCTTTCCTCTACCCATTTTGAAAACATTAACTACCCAAAACTATTTTAAACGTATTTTGACAGCTGTGATTAATAAAAACAATGTCATGGATTTTATTTTTCACAGCCACCTATGCGTTATAGACTTATTTTGCATTGAAATGAAAATAGGTTAATATGCTGTAATTGCAACATGTGCTATTTTTATGCTGTAAATTTGACTAGGGAGTGATAAAGTGATAAAGGTGTTTTCTACTACATATTATCAAAATATTCATTGTTAATATTTTAAACCTATAACACCCTGCTACATTTTTATTATTTGTGTTTGATAAGAAAAAACAAAGATTTTTAGTTGGGCCAACTGAAGTGGGAAGGGGCTCGTATATCTTAATAGCATTGTACTAAATGATTTTTTGTTGTCAACTTCAAAATGTAAGGGTATCACTAAACTATTTCTATTACGCGTATTCAGCTGATTTATGTCGCCAATTTTGCAAATTTGTGGTTGTTTGATGGCTAACACCTTGTGCGTGACTGTCAATAGGTGGCGTTTTTGGATGCTTTTAATTTGTAGAATACCAAGCTCCTCTAATTCATGAGGAATATGATTACATTTTCGTATTCGGCAAGAAAATCTGACGCACGAATTCTGAATACGCTGTAATTTGCTTTGTTCACTATATAATAGAGTGCGGTCATTATTGTATCACAATAACTGATTTTTGACATAGTTAATGTTACACAAGGTTCCCGTTTTACTCAAATAGACATTATTTGTCTATACGGATAAAACTGCTTCAAAATGCAGTATCATGCCCTACATAATTGATTCACATGATTTTGTATTCCAATTCTGTGTCAATCCAGAGTCCCAAGTTTTTACTGATGTACTATTCAGATGACCCACCTAAAAGGACTGCACTATACCTTGAACAAAGATGAGCGATTACAACTTTACGAGATCGCACGCTGGATAGAATGAGAGGGTTGTACAACAAGAACAATTAGAAGTTTGTATTGAACAAAGCGGTTTGGTAGCTTTAACGTAAGGTAAGCGTCTATTTCAACTTGGGCTTCCGTCTAGCTAGGTTTAAATAAACTCCCGCTTAATGAAGTAGCGTGCAGAGACTGTTACGCTGCGCTTTGAACACGTGCGCATGTAGGTCGCTAACTAGCAGCCATTTGAATAAGTGCTGAGCTTGCTTGATTCAGGAAACATTTGCATAAGCTACTGAAAACTATCTAGTTCTGTAGATGATATTTGAAATGGCAAAGTTCGAAGCCACCGGAATCGTTCATCAGTGCAGTTTTATCGCATAGCCAAAATACAAAATAAGTACCGTGACGCTAGAATAATTTTTGCTATGCAGAAGTTTTAATTAATCACATCGTAACCAAATGGCATTAAAGAGATACGGAGCGAAGGAAAGTGTCACCTTTGAAGTGTGAAGTTAAAAACTTCACCGCGCGAATATTCACGCCTCGTTATCCTCAGTGAACCTTAACCCCAAGAGGTCTTGTTGAGACTCGTTATGAACTAACTGGGATCAGTAAAACTAGAGAAGGCCCAGTAGATTTTTCCACATTCTATTGATATGCATGAGAGCGTAGGCCAGTTATCTAGTTAAAAGGAGAAGCGAAGCTTGGTGGAACTATACAGGGTGTAAAGTTAGTAGTGCGTGGTCCGAAATTTTATAGTTCAGGAGATATTTGCAATTTTGTGAAATTTAGAAAAAACGGAATAACGAACTTTCAATCACAATTACAACTAAACCATTAGGTTTAGGGCTGTGATTTTTTTTGAGATGAGCTAAATGGTTATGTCACAAAGCTAAATACAAAACAACGCAAAAAATCTTTAATCAATCTTCGGTCTGACCGAAATTACGAAGTCAGTCAAAATGGTCCAGCGCGAAATTTGTATCTAACTTTTGGCATCTGAGTAGAATAATATCATATTCTCCGCGAGATTATGCAGAAATGCATTACTATTATGGTGCTGCCCTAGGAAATGCTCGAGCAGCTGATCGAATGTATCGGAAGTATGTGGTTACAAGACAGACTAGACACTCATCGTCAACTAGGAGCGCCGAGGATACGCCCAGAAGAAATCGGAGACATAACAGAAGCAGCCGAGAGATATCCGTCTATAAGCACCAGAGCCATTGCCCGAAGCAGAAACGTATCCCATATTTCAGTGCACACAATACAACGCTCGTATAGCATCCTTACTATGGAAAAAGAATACAAGAATTGCTTCCAAGCGACTATGCACAATGGGTTAAATTTTGTGAGAACATGTTGAGAAGGTGCGAAGAGGATGAAAGTTTCTTCGACAGCATCTCATGGACAGATGATTCCCACCTTAACCGAAATGGAATATTCAACATGCACAATTTTCATTCATAGAGCGTGGAAAGCTCACACGCCATTCGCCGACACAGCTTTCAACGACAGTTCGGTGTTAATTTATGGGCTGGAGTACTCAACAAAAAATTAATTGGATCATATGAGTTGCCCGACAGGTTTAATGGTCAGTCACATCTTGCTTTTCTACAAAGCAGTTTGCAAGAGCTGCTAGAGCATGTACCTTTGCACGGGATGTACGGCATTACTTAGACAGTGCCTTTCCTGGGCGTTGGAAAAATAGAGGTGGACACATACGCTGGCCTCCAAGGTCACCCGATTTAAATCCTCTAGATTTTCTATATATGGAGGTTTTATAAGTGCATAATCTATACATCTGAATATACAAACTGGCCGGTTAATTTACCTATCTTTGTCTCAGTTGCGTGTTTCGAGAGAAAGAACTCGTCTTGTCTGCGATTTTCCACGGAGTGATAGCGAACGTGCGTATCGTTTTAGGTTAATGTGCAATCGTGTCTCAAAAAACAAGATGTGCATAACAAGTTTGAAAAATAGTCTCAATTCGTTAGCAAAAATATAATCTTTTTCATTTTATATCCTCCCGTGGGCTTACCACTAGTTCGCTGCAGTCAGTCAGCCAGTTGCGGCTCGAGGAAGCGGCGGCCCGCCGGTTCGACCATAGCCATCGTATTTTGTACAGGGGAATCTTTAATGTGCGACATATGTCTGGAATTACTCCAGTGTTTAAATATAATAGTGTCTTAATATACTACCATCAAAAAGTTGCGATAAATCCTCCCCCACCCACTAATTTTGTATCCCTAAAAATCTTTTCGAAAATGATCAGGATTATCTGACGCGTCAATAAAAAGTTTGAGATATTTTTAATTTTTTGTTTTTCGCATTTTTTTCCGCCGCTATTGAACAGTAATAACCATGTATAAAAAAAATCCGAGTAGTGCTCTACAAGTTGCAGATGGGACAAGGATTTGCTGACAGACCGACAGACAGACAGATTGACAGACTGACGGTTATAAGTGATAAAGCTTTTCGTGATGTAC